CCCCCCCCCCCAAAAAAAAAGCCTGTACAACTTGTTTTGTAAATATCTTCCTCCGTACTGAAGTTTTGCGTTTCAGGTTTGAACATAACATTTGGAAGCCAAAATGAATTTGTTTGTTATTCATTTTAGATAAGTCCATTCAATGATTTTGCTCTATATGGAGCATTAAAAAAACAACCCATTTTCAACCTTATCGACATTTTCATAGCATGACGCACCAGTTCGCATTAGGCCTACCACTAAAAGTTGCAACAATGGCGCCATATTGCAAGCTATTACAGTCTAACAAGGCAGCAGAAGTCTGCAGATATTATTCTTCCCAAACTTCGTTTGCCTGCTGAGATCATGGTTACGTTTAGCAAAGAGCAGAGAGCTTTTTGTAGTGAACATTACCTCTCAACATACTCAGCAACTTTGACATTTCGTAAGTTCTGTGCACGGCATGGAGAAAATGCTAAGGTGCTCTTAAGTCCTTTGGCATCAAGAGAAGAGAAGTTCTGTCAGTTTGGATATCTAGCAAATCAGAACTAAAATTTCCTTTAAAATAACCACTTCAGGTCGAACACGGACCTTAAACGTCACCACGTGCAGATTCCAGTAGTCGAGTCCCATGAGACATCTGTCCGTAGGACTTTCTTACACCTCAACAGTCTGCAATCTCATGGCATATATCATATCTTAATCTACGACTGTACCATTTTCTTCTTCACTAGGCATGGATCAGAGCATGGCAATGTGTTCATGATTCCTCCATTATCTTGAAATTCGGCACCATTTCCTCGAAGACATTAATTGGTTTAGTGCCAAGCCCATTTTCACCCTGCAGGATAATATGTTAACTCCAAAAATTCTGTCTATTGGGCACCCCACTCCCTATTATCTCTAGAAGCCACTTCCTACTGAATATGCACAGTGCATGTGACTTTAGACACTCATGGTTTAGCAGGTCCTTGTGTTTGGGCGCCATTAAACATTTCGAACGACATGTAAAAATGTGTCGAGTCCAAAAGAGGGCACGTATAGCATTGCTTCTAGGAATTTCAAAATGGGTTCGTTAGATTTTTTTTAACTCTGTAAAAGAAATTAAATATTTTTAATGCCACAGGGGAGGAAAATTAAATGTCAAAGAGAAAGTAAAGAAAAAGATCAACCAATCTTTTCACAACTTCCTTTACAAGATTTTTAAAAATTGGTGAACTCTGCGTTTTTGGGTGCTTTTTTTTTACTTTAAGCAATTTCCGTTTTCATAATAAGTTTCTTTTTCGTCGATTTTATGTCAAACAAATTCCTTTTTAATGAATTGTCTGTTCCAAATTACAGCATTCTAGGATAATTTTTGTGTAAGACTTTCAGAAAACGTTGCACAGTTTGTTTGTTTGTTTGTTTTTTTGGTGTTTTTTGTTTGTTTTTTGTTTTTTGTTTTTGGGGGGGTGGGGGGTGGATCACCCTGTATTTTACAAACAAAACACACTCAGGTGAACTTGATTGAGCATTATTTTCTGGTTTGAAGATCGAGTCAGCTCTCTAAACAATTGACAATAATACAACAATCTTCGTTATAGGGCTTCATGTGAGTATGCGTTTGTGTGCGTGTGTGTGCTTGTGTCTGTGTTCGTGAATGTATTTGTGTTTGTGTGTGTATTTGTATGTGAGAGTGCGTGTTTGTGTGCCTGTGTATGTGAGTGTTTGTGTAATTGTGTGTATGTAAATGTGAGTGTGTGTGTGTGTGTGTGTGTGTGTGTGTGTGTGTGTGTGTGTGTTATTGAAAGAGGCCAGACACCCAGACCGGCTGACAAACGGACACTGAAAAAAATCATGCAAAAAGGAAATAAAAATGAAAGTGAAGATAAGAAAAGGCATGAATGAAATGAGAGGAGTGGAAAGAAAGAGAGAGTGAGAGAGAGAGAGAGAGTGAGAGAGAGAGAGAGAGAAAGAGAGTGTGACAGAGAGAGAGAGAGAGAGAGAGAGATGGGGTGAGCGGGGAGAA